TTTTTTTTTCTGTGAGACTTAGCAATTCAGCCACACCAGCTACAAGAGGCATTGTTAAGGGCTGGGCAGCAGAAGAAAGGAGGACATGGGTGATGCAATGAACAGTTTAAGAGACAGTCTACAGCTTTCCTCTGCCAAGTAAATTTCAAGTATATCTCTTACTCATCAAGATGGACAAGTTGTCTTCAGTCTGGACTTTTGCAGCAAATGAAGAAAAGAAAAGATTCCTTAGGAATCTTACAGAATGAATAATTTGTCTCAGAATTTAAATATACTAATAAGACACTTAGCTCTATAGCATCAGGGATCCCTCTTTGGGATCTGGGTTTCACAGCAAATTATGCAATATCCTTTATTTTAGTGGTAGCTTGTGAGGGGGAGAAGCCTGACAAAAGCCCACTGAACCTCATCAATAAAGCTCCCTCCTTTCTTTGCTAAATGAGGTGATCGGGATATCACATAGCCCTTGACTTCAGTGACAGCAGCTGAGTAGATCCTGATCCAAATCAGAGAAAGTGGGCTGATCCCAAATGAGCATCATGTTCCCCCCACCCTCATATCTGTCCTACAAGGCAACAAGTTGGCACCTTGCATGATGCACAAAGGAAGACATGATCATCTAGTCATAATAACATCATCTTCTCCAGCCTTTCACCTGTACTGTCCATTGTGGATAGCTCCTCACCAGCTAATGACACTTGGGCAGTATAATCCCATCTCTTCTTTCATGGGACTGAAAATGAGCATGATAGAGCATGCCTTTTCTCAACAAACCAAAGTAGATATTTTAGATTTTGATTTCCTGTTCAAGAAAAAATATTTTATTTATTTTGATGGGGAATAAAAATTTAATTAGAAGAACAATATTATGGAAGAGAATCAATTTACCCAGTGTAATTTCCACTGAAACACAATTCCTAGTAATGGAAACAGAGTTCTTAGCACTGATAGCATCAAACACAATTGGAAATTCTAATCAGCAAGCCAATGCTAGTATTTAGGATCTTTTAAAAAAATCATGTAAGATCACTGGACTGGAAAACTTGTAAGATTTGTCCTTTACCACTACTAGACTACACAACTATGCTAATGAAGACATTAGTTGATTTATTTCATATTGTAAATAAAACGTGTGCACCCAATTATTTCTCTATGAAGGGTTTATTCTTACTGTCAATCTCAGTCTAGCTTTACCAGCACTAGCAGGAAAAAAGATGCTACTCTTCTCCATTTTACCACTAGAACAGCTGTTGGGAATATGGTGCCTAAAGTATCTGTGGGACCTTATTTACACTCCCCTAATATTATTAAAGTGGTGGTTGCAGAAGTGGGAAATCAAACACTACTTTCAATAAAGGAAGGTTGTTAAACAGAGAAGAGAAGCCATTTGGCTTGTCTGAGATGTGGTAAATAAATAGCACTTAATTGGCAGCTGCTCCTTTTTTTTTTTTTTTTTAATATAAGCAAAAGACTGTTTTCTGGTAGTTTAAGCATGAATTGGACTGTACAGAGCCCCGAAAAGCACAAGTGAACTAAGACAACACTTATGGGAACAAAAGGCTACAAATCTCCTCTGCACTTAGACGATATTAATAAATATAGCCATAACATGCTCCATCTATTCAAAAATGATCTTAATTTCAGTACTAAACTGCTACTAGAACCTGCATATTTAAAGGTATATCATTGTTATAATGGCCATGCCACTTACACAGCACCAGATTCAGCAATTTTCAGCCACCAGCATCTGTGTCTGTGGCTTCTGACATTTCAGAACATTTGTATGTGACAGAAACGAATGGCTGTGACACTTAACAACACGTGTGAAGGATCTGAGACCTGCAGACCTCAATGCCACCTGAGGCTTATTGAACTGAATAGGTGGTAGATTGGTTAAAAGATTGATGAGGAAAAAAAGCCTCATGATGCCCTGCCCTACTGTCTGTTGCAACCTCCTGCACAGAAATGTTCTTTTTGTCCCTGCTCCCACTGAAAGAGTGTGGACCATGAGAATATTCAGTTCTCCTAGTGTATGAGAAAAAGCTGTGAAAAAAAGGGAAGGAAAGACCTGAGAAGCACCATCATTGTTTGTAGAAAAAACTGCTAGCTCCATTTGAAAATTGATTGGCTCTGCTCTAATGGCTGGGAATGGTAGAAATCCAATTAATTTCAAAGGCAGCATAGTGAGCTCAACACTAGTTAACTTTGGATTTTCTACTCAGAAGAGTTACTATATTTTACAGGTACATGGTCTTGCTGAAAAAGCTGATAGATGCCTCTTGTGACACCTCAGTTAGATTAAAGGGTTGTAATCTGTCTCCCAGTGATGGTACTGTGGAAAATGTGTGCTCCCCATCGTCTGCATCACCAAAGACGTACTGTGACCACCCTCCTTTGAGGGAGCAATGAGTGTAAAGCGGGAGCTGCACTGCACTCCAACACAAAATCCAACCTCAAAACCACAAACCTCCCAACAACAAAAGTGAGACAGACAAAACAGTCCTGCTCTGCATGAACACTGAACAAACCTCCCAACCACAAAAGTGAGACAGACAAACAGTCCTACCCTGCATGAACACTGAAATCTTGAAATGAGGTGTAGAGCTTGATATTAGGAAAACTGGTTTGTCATGAAAAAGGTTTGTCATGCTTTGAACAGGCTGTCCAGGGAAGTGGTGGAGTCACCATCCCTGGAGGTATGTAAAAGATGTGTAGATGATGTGCTTAGGGACATGGGACATGGGCTTAGTGGTGGACTGGGCAATACTGGGTTAATTGTTGGATTTGATTATCTTACAGGTCCTTTATCACCTAAATGATTCTGTGATTTTATGATTGCTATTCATCTGGCATTTATCAGAGCTCTTTAAAAAGGTGTATCAGTCTCAGATGCACATGCTATTTATTTTACATGTTAAATGGTTAGTAAACTGCAAAAGAAAGTCCTCAGTAGGTATGAAATGTCAGGAGCAATGTGGCCTTTGCAGAAAGAGCTTGAGCTGCATATTGAACAGCAAGGACAGGAAGGTATTGAACAGGTGATGATTAACTGTGTACTCTCTGCCTGCGGCACCAAATGGGAAAGGGTCTCTGAGGTATACAAAGCAAAATGCACAGGCAGAGGTTCTGGCAGCTCCGGACGTCTGAGTGTTCAGGCTCATAATCTGCATTGCAATTCACATTAAATTGGTATTATCAGGGGAGAAAAAGAAGAGAAGACAAAAGTGGACTCTTATCACACTGCATCAGAGTGACACCCGTGTCGTTCATCAGCAGGGCCAGGTTATGTTCAGTCTCCTGTTGAGACATGCTGAGCTGAGTTGGTGGCACTCACAGCAGTGTGTCAGCCTTTATGCCAGCCCTGCACCCACCACACACGACTGTTCCCTTTGTTCTGGCTTTCCAGCATGAGCACTAATTTTAAGAGAGGCACAGCGGCGCATCCCCTGCTGCTGCAATAACCCCGTGGCTGGGCTTTAATGCATCCCTGCCAGCAAAGGGGAGCCTGTGCTGTCACTGTGTATTAGAAGTATGATTCCAAGCCCAACCAGTGATTCAGACCAATTAGAACATGGGGGCAATGAGTTGCCTCTTAAATATTTGTATCAGACACACCCCAGCGTGTGCAACAGCAGAACTGTAGGCACTTGTATACATTTCCTGGACATAACATAGATAGGAGCACAGTTTAAATAGGAATTTGTGGATGACACCCTTGCCTGCAGGAGATACATTCAGGCCATCACATTCAGCCTGGGGAGTTATGAGAGGAAAGAACATTATCTTGCATTTACATGATGCAGTGAAGCACCATACAGAATTACCAGCCTATTGGCAAATGTAGCAGTTTAGAAATTAGCACAGCTACACAAGCATGGCCCCATACCTTGGCCAGTTAAGCCTAACAAAAAAGGTAGAGCTAACTCGTTAAATTAGAGTCATGGTAAAGAACATGTGCTCTGTAGACTCAGGACTAACTTGAGGCTTAAAACATTGCATTGATTGCTGTGCTGTGGAAGTGGTTCATGAACAATACTGGATGGCCAGCAAAAATCTAAATTTTACTTGAACACATGCTAATGAGTGTCATCTCCTATGTGGAAAAATGACATTTTTTCAAAGGCTTGCGTACACTATCAGTTTCAGACAGATTATATAAAGGATCTGGAAATGATATCATTAATTCACTAGAGACTCACTGTCAAATTCTGAGCCTTTGTTTCAAAGCATAAAGGTGGCAAGTGCATTTCTTCAAGAATTATATTTGATGGACAAGATACAATAAAAGTGTATTTTCCATGCTTTATTCTTAGAATGGCTGAAAGATTTTGCTGAGGATTTTTTCAAAAGAATTCTGCTTGCTATTCCACATGTAATATGCTAAAATTAAATGGTTAAAATTCGGAGAAATTATATACCAACTGAAAATTGTAGCTTATAATTTCAACCATTAAGCAACACTACTAGGTGATATTTTCTCCACAACCTATAGTCATGTATCTGATGAAACATTTCAGACAGAGAGGCAAGATTTAAAAAAATTCTTATAACTGTGCTGTGAAGTGTTGCAAAAATAGTTACAACTAAAACATCCTTTCTTGTGATCACAGACTTTTTTCAGAGCATACCAAACACTGCTGGAAAAAGAACCATTCAAAGAGTGATCTTCTTGGTATGTGAATTCTCTTATAGAAATAAAGTGATGGCAATACCACCTATGCAGCAGTGACAAGTTAATTCAATTTCCATCTCAAAATCAGGTAAAGTGTATCTCATTTGTTACCATGGATACAAGACATTATTTCAATTTGTTTGAGATCTCACAGTGGGTATGAAATTAAACTGTGACACAGTTTTATGGAGGAAGTTGACTAAAACCCCATAAGTTCAATGTCATTAGTCCAAAGGATTTTCTTTTTTCAGACACAGCAAATAAGGAGGTTGCTACTACTGCCCATAAGGTACACTTCATAAGCAAACATCTGTGTGGTTTTCCTGATACTACTTTAGATTAGTGAGAGTGATGGAAGAGAAAATAAACATTCATTTCATCAGTCCTGCAAACACAGGGAAGAATACTGAAAAACATCCAGATGGTAGAAGTACATTATAAATACATCAGTGTTGTGTTATTTGCTACTGTTTGGCACCAAATATGTTTACAAAAAATGTCTTGATGCTGAAAATGCATCCAATTTTTCTCAGATAAATCTGCTTTTCAGGCTGCAGCTCAAATCACTTGTTATTTAGTTTTCAGAGTTAGAAGAAGTGTATGAAAGAGTAGGGGAGAATGAGGAGAAAAGAAGAAGGAGAAATATGTTTTTCAATGCTGACATATATGAAGGGTTCAGGAATTCAGTGGCATTCAGTTTACCTTGTCTGAAATTAATTTTAATATATACAAAAGGATAAAAGGGAATACAGGTCTTCTTGTTAAATTATTTATACTCAAGTCCTGGATATATATTTAATATTTCATAGTGAGACTGATTTCCATAGATGCTGAGCAACTGCTACACTGACGGATTTCAGCTAAGGTTGTCATCTCCCAACATTTACAGAACCAAGCTGAGATAAAGCTGAGTCTACCTAAATCAAGGGTTTATTTGTACATATTCATGCATTAAATGCATGAAAATCACAAAGGTTATGGGATGTCATGACTGTGGCTAATTACTGAAATCCAAAACCATCATCCAGCTGCTTAACTGACTGATAATTTCCCACCAAATATTCCGAACTTCACCTCCCGTGCTTCTGTGTTGCTGCTCTCCTCAGCATATTGTCAGACTGGATTATCTGCAGAGTCTTCTCCAGCTCCTTGGGCCATCTCTAATTATATCCCACTGGGACCAAGTAGGTCTGACCCTGAGATGGCAAACTAGAAAAATTGAGATCCTCACAGCAAAACTGTCACAGACACAGAAACACTCAGAGGAATAGGGACTGTAGTGTCCACGGCCAGCTGAACAGAGAAATAAGTCAGTAACTCTGTGTTATTGATTTGCATTATTAACATTTGCTTGAAGTTCAATAAAAATCTATTTATATTCTACAGACTTGATTATACTTCATCTAGGCCCCAGACAGAAAATTATAATAATGCCAAATGGGTGCTAGGGCTCCAGAATTTTTATTTAGTAGTATTTTATGCCTCCTTTTCACTAATTTTAATGGAGAATTAGCATCAGGATTAAATACAGCACAATTTTTACATATGGTGTTAAATTTATTAAAACCAGTGATATTTAAGTAACCATTTATATAAGGCTAAGATCATGAACAGACCTCAAGCTTACCTAAAGTATACAGAAACCTTAAGTATTTCTGAGTAATGACTTAATTCTGAAGTCTGGGAAAGATTTCATTCCTGAATTATCAATTACTTTGTAAAAATTTGCAGGCTTAAAGGGGCTTGTGTTGATATCAATACATGTGTATGGTTGCCCTCTGCTCTGCTATTGGGTGTTAGCTGGGATTTGCAGACTTGTTGGATTTGATGGGCACCAGGACAGCCATGCAACTCCTAGGCCAACAGGGCAGCTCATGTGTAAATTAATATCTCCTGGGTTTTGCCAAACAAAAGCAGCCTAGTACAGTCTGGAAGTGGAACCTGTCCCCTTCTGGAATCTAATAACCAGGGGTGACAGAGGAGTGCGTGCGACACTGCAGAGAAGGAAGGAAAATGAACCTCCGCAGTGCCAGGCTGAGAAGCTCCACTCCAGCTGGGAGCACCGCCCAGCGCTGTGGTGAGCCACTGCCCTTGTGTCCTGTCACAAACCAGCTGAACACAAGTGCCTGGGCAGGGAAGATGCTGCACACATGCACACTGGGTGAGGGCTGCTCATGTGTCAGTGGACACGTCAGACAACACAGTGGGAGCGGTCTGGATGTGCTTGCTGAGACTCACCCAGCACAGTGTCAGGAGCACACTAACAAATAAGGGATAATAATTATGATAAACTGACACCCCTTGCACCTGCAGGGACACAGCGCAGTTTCTCGTTGAATGGTGTCAGAGAAAAAGCGTTTTTGCTGCACTAAACCACTTAAAAACTGTCTGAATTAAAAGGTTACATCCATGGGTCAGCATAAATGATAATAGCTCAGGAAATAGCACTGATGTTGCTAACAATTTGCAAGTTAAGGAGGGTAGTCTGAACACACTGACGTCTCAGTCATTCTCTAACAATAGCATAAAAAAAGATGCAGATTGATGCAAATGAAAACACCACAGAATATTGATTATGATATATAAGACAATTAAAAAAAACTTCTGTGCAATACCAGGGCCAGTTGGATTAAGTGAGAAGAGGAACAGAGCAATTTGCTCATAACTAGCAAATGCATAAAGAGTTTTCCTGAATGATCAAGGGGTTTGTAGTTTATGAATTCCTAAAATGACTATGCCTAAATACATCCCCAAACTCTCCTCCCTTTCCCGCATCTAAATCCCTGTGATTTTTTGAAAAGAAATCAGGACCTTAATGAACAGTCTTGAGTACAGCAGATCCCCAAGGTACCACTTTCCTAAAATAGAAGAACTGTTCTTTTCCTCCTTAGCAATACCTGCTGCATGCCTTGCATTGTCTGCTGTAGGAACTGCAGCTGCTGGTCCTTCGTAAGGCTTTCTTCCGTTCGGAAGAGCTGT